TTATTTACTCTTTAAGATAATTAGCAGAGGCCATCCAACCAGTTACCCTCAGCCAAGCAAATGCATCTAACTCTGAGGGAGGAGGCAAGTTCAGTGTGATGAATGAAGCTCAGTGTAGCAGCAAATTCCATTCCAAAATAATTTTCAATTCAAAGGCTCCATTTAAGGGATAATGATGGGGGCTCAGGATTAATCAGTGGCTGGGGGAGATGATAGCCCAAGGCAAACCCACAGGCCATTAACCCTTGCGGGTCACATTATACCCACAGGAAATGCACCAGGTCAAGTTCATTGTTCCTATTATAAATTCTCATAGGAAAAGAAAAAGGTGAAACTGAAATGTTTATATATGTTTTCCGTCTTCAGCTCCAAGTGATGTTGGATGGCTTTTGGCAAGCCCTGTGTATTTCACCTCAGACAGAGAGAGATTTTGTTAGACTTGACACCAAAGGCAGCATAAGTGGAATATATATATATATATATATATATATATATATATATATATATATTTAAAAAAACCTAGGAAGCATTTGAAGTTCTCAACAGTGGAGCGAACAATGCAACAGAGAACAAAGGAAATGGTTGTGCAGGAGATCAGAGAGGGCCATTCCACACTTGGGTAAACCAGCTCACCTCTAGCCAAACCTACATTGTTTTATTCACACACACATCACCAACATGGATCAAGGTGTTTGTTGCTGTTGAGATGCCATTTGAACAGTAGTGGGATTGGCACAAAGCAAGATTTGATCAGACCCGGGCATAATCACCATGTATTTGTTTATTTATAAAAGTATTTCTATACCGCCATATCATAAAGTATCAGGGCAGAATACAATGTTAAAAAGACAAAACACCTGGTTTTTTTTTGAGGGGGGGGGGAGTTTACAAATCATTGTGGTGACTAGCTAAGCAAAAATTTAAATTAAACAGCATCAAATGCCTTGGAGAAAACAACTGTCTCCTCCATCTCTGCTAGAAGAGTGTTGAACAGCATTGGACCAGTGGTACAAAATGCCCAGCGGATGACGGACAACTAAATATATGTTGTCCTCCCACAGTCATAGCAATTTGAAAATACAGAGTTTTTTAAAAAAATTAGATAAAGTGCTTTATTTTATTCCATGAGAGCTGGTCATTGCTCAGTAAGATTGCAGTGCTGTGTATGCTTTCTTGGGATTCAGCTGAACTAATCACTGCACATGATTTTTTTTTTAGATCCAGGTAGGTAGCTATGTTGGTCTGAAGCAGTGGAAATAAAAATTGAAAAAATTAAAAAATTGTCCAGTAGCACCTTATGGACCAACTCAATTTGTTCTGGTATAAGCTTTCATGTGCATGCACACTTCTTCAGATGGGTATCTGAAGTGTGTATGCACATGAAAGCTTATACCCAGAACAAACTTAGTTGGTCTATAAGGTGCTACTGGACAATTTTTTAATTTTTTAAACAATTTTTTTTTTTGTCATCAGCTTCCTCTATGAGTTTAAGAGAAACGGCATTCATGATCCAAGGGCTTGCAACCGCACCTGTAAATGTCGCAAGTTGCATCCAAGTGAGCGTGTTTATGATTATGCTTTCCTTTTCTGCTGTGATAGCCTTCAGCTGCAAAGCTGAGCTCTCTATCCATGCACCCTCACAAACGCCCACCTCCAAAGTTAGGATCAAGAGTTGAGGGTCATCTTTTTATGGAACAGAGGAGGCAGCTGTGAAGTTTAGATTAGAAGCTGGCCTTGGTGGCCCTTGCAACCTGTTGGATCCCTGATTAGAAATATAAAGCGGATTCTCAGCTTTCATGTTAACAAAAACGTGTTTAACTTCCTTTTGAGGAAAGCCTTGGAGATGCAAAGCAGGCGCCAGGGATAAAAAGAACTAACAGCTGGGCCTGTCTTTCCAGATATGGTGGGAAGGGAGGGGGGATGCTCTGCAGAGGGTGATCATCTCATTCCTTAAGCACCGTCCTGGGATTCAGAGGCCCCAAGTTCCATTTCCAACTCTGCCACAGAAATTCTGTATCATGGTAACCAGAGAAATAAATGTGTTTTGTCATCGCCTCAGTTCCACTTCCAATGAAATGGGATGCTGAAGTCTACTAAGGGCTATCTCAAAGAAACTACAGTGGTACCTTGGGTTAAGTACTTAATTCATTCCGGTGGTCCGTTCTTAACCTGAAACTGTTCTTAACCTGAAGCACCACTTTAGCTAATGGGGGCCTCCTGCTGCCGCCGCGCTGCTGGAGCCTGATTTCTGTTCTCATCCTGAAGCAAAGTTCTTAACCTGAAGCACTATTTCTGGGTTAGCGGAGTCTGTAACCTGAAGCATATGTAACCTGAAACGTATGTAACCCGAGGTACCACTGTATACCTAAACCTTTGATAGGGACATCTTCATTGTTCCAATGATTAGTTTGTTTTTTTGGAAAGTCCCCCAATGACAGCCACAAAATGAAATTTGGAGGGTTGAGAGTCTTCCTCGGTTCTGAATAATACTATTTTCATGTAAAAGGAATGACAGAAGAGTCAGAAGAACAAATGTCTGTACCTTACAGATGCATAGCCCAGTAGATTTGTGTGCCGGGCTAATCTCCAGATTCTAAGATTGTCGCCAGATTAACGAAATCTTAGCTGAGTATCACTCTTTCATTTTATGAGGGCCTTAAAAACCTATTTGTTTTCCTTGGCTTTTCCTGGAGTGGTTTGTTAGGGTTGTTTTATGACACTGCTGGTGGTTCTGAACTGTATATTCTGCTAGATTTGTGTAGTTTGGGCTGGAGGGGGTGTTTTTAAAATCATTGCTTGTTTTTATTATGTACTAGGTATTTTGAAATGGTGATCATATTTTAACTCTTAAGTGGCCTTGCAAGGATTTGTCCTTAAAGGTGGCCTGAACTTATTTATTTTAAATACATATATGTGTTTTAGTTATGCAGTCCTATACATATTTATTCATGCATGTGTCACACAACAAGGATCATCTCAATCATTGCCTCCTCTCTCACATACAAGGAGCAATTCTTTTTTAGTCTATCAAGACATTTTAAATCATTGAACAAATCAATGGATGACATGTTGTGGTTGTCAAAGTTTTCCAGTGGGGGGAAATTTTAAAAGGAGTAAAATAGCCCATTGAACACTGTTTCATCTATTACTTGCAGGGTTGTTTTGGGCCTTTCCCCCCCAAAAAACCAGAGTCCTTTTCGTTGGGGATAATTCAGACTAAAATTCCCAGGCGTCAAAAAAGGTTGTTTATGTATGCCACTACTGTGGCCCGTGTTTTGTTAGCCCCAAATTGGAAAACGAGCGAGGTCCCATCCAAAGAAGAACGGCAACTTAAGTTGACAGACTATGCACAGCTTTACAGACTTAACTTGGAGAATAAGAGAACAAGAAGAACATTTGGAGAAGATTGGAAAATGGTTATTGAATATATGGGAAATAACTGTGTACAGCTGGAAACGCTGGCAGCATTAAGATAAATTCAACAGTGTGAATATGTTTTGATGGACGTAATAATGGAATACTGAATGGTAGAGTTTTTGTAAAATATGCAGGGATTTATGATATGTAAAATGAACCATGGAAAGAGAAGAATGGAAGTCATTGATATCTTAAGGACGTAAAAAGGAGTATTTCAAATTGTAAAACAGAAAATTTAATAAACATTTTATATACACACACACACACACCCCTGGCATCAACCTTAAGTGGCCTCAGAGAAAAAGTATGGAACCCAGTAAACATCCATGGAAAAACCTGTGTTTTTTGCTGTCAGGGCACAGGGGCTGTTGCATTCAAGGCCAGTATCAGCAGTTAGCTTTGCTGGCACCTGCTACTGAGCAGGACTCCCCACCGCCTGATCATGAAAGCCTTGCTGCTGCTCCACTTGCCATTACTGCTTGCTTAGCAGCTCTCTCCCTCTGTCCTTAAGGGATAGCACAATGAATTATGGGAACCAGGCAAAGGGCACTCACTTGCCCTTTCCCCCTAGATAGCAGTGGGAATTGGGCCCAGAAAGAGGGAGAGAGATAAGATGATGGCGGACAGAGAGTGGAGGGAGGCTCCCATTGAAGGTATCTGACACAAGGGGCCCCCAAAAATCTGGAGCTGGCAGCCGCTGGGATCACTAAGAAACATACATGCCATATAAAGACACACAGAATGCATTTCCATTACTAAGAGGAATTAATTACCACTGCTAATTAGCTGCTTAGATTAGCACAGTTATTTCCATCAATGGAAGAGGGAAATAATTCTGTCCGTGCATGTATAAACACATCTATAGAAAGCTTTCCAGTGGTGGTCACGACAAAAATCCATTACATTCATCCATTACAGCAAACACAAAAAACAGTTTTGTTATGTCTTGAGGACTAACAAGATCTATTGTGGCGTAAGGTTTCATGGAATAGCTCACTCTATTGGATACATGAAGTTTTGTCCTCAGTTGGAAAGGGTGGGTGGGTGTGGGTGTACACGCACACACACAGGGGTGCAGATAAAACAACAATAACAACTGGGCCAAAAATTGTCTTGTGAACAACATGAACCATATCCAACCAGCAATTATTCTGCTATTGACTTTTAATCATTTCTGTATTTTTCTTGTTATACTGGGATTAGTGCAGAAATGAAAATGTAGGAGCTATTCAAAACCTTTCCCAGCAAAGTGCCTTAGAAATACGTAAGAAAGACAATAAGCAAATATATATATATATATAGTAAGTGAATATATCTGTAAGTGAAGAAAATTGGGTCTTGCTCATGGTACCCATTTAGTTACATATGTATATTCATTTGCACACAAACACAAACATACATATTTTAAACACACTGTACTAATGTACAAAATAAACATAATTACAGTAGCTCTTGCACGTAATGGAATGCTTTTTGTTCTACTGTTAATTGACTAAAAGGATTTGCAAATGCTGAATGGAAAACCTTTGGCATCAATATTTAATAAAGAACTGTAATAAGATGCTAATCATTTTATAAGATTAAGTAGCTAGATGGTGATAAGATGATTTAGGGCACAACTGCTGGTGCCTGGTGTGCTCTAATTAAATCCTGAACCAACGTTAAACCAAAGTTATGGACCAGGTTTAACCCAAAGGGGAAAACAGCATATAACTCTGGCTTGACCCTTTTTTCTTTATTCACGGTACCACGAGGACAGAAAGGGGGAAGGTTGAAGGACAGTCCTGGATTAACCAATTATGCTAAACAGTCTGTATGTGGCATTAGATCCCGGCACAGAAGAGAATGTTGCTGTGTACACACTTCAGCCTTTGAAGCACTGTGGTTTGGGGTTTTCAAAAAGTACTTCTTGTAGACATTGCTTTGCAAGTGTCCATACATGAACACTCTGCAGACAGCACGAGCAGGTGTTAAATCATTGCCACCTGTACACATAAAGGACATGTCCTCTGTGACCAGCATGCATTAGTTTCTTTGCTCCTTCCCCTTTCAATACCCACCACACTCCTTCTTTGTCCCCATCCGTTTACTGACATATGGCAAGTCCAGTAGCACAGGCTGCTAAGGCTCACTTAGTAGGGGAGACCAACTTTTCATACCAAGTATTGTCTTATGATAGCAGCACATTCTAAGTTTATCTGCATGTACAGTTGTAATGGAGAGTATATTATAGTGCACCTGGGCCTACTTTCATGCAGTTGGCAAGTAGGGGAGAAATTGGGGGGGGGGGTGAGAGGGTAAAAGAGAGAGAGAAGACAGGTGGTAGAGAAAGACCAAGACCAAGAGAGAGAGAAGTGGGAGCCAACTTGCAGCTCTGGCTTTGGCTTCATTCAACTCTGGCCACACCCACTGCAAGCAGGCAGCACTCATTAGCCGCCTGATAAAATACAACACTTGACAGAAAAAAGGTCCATTTTCTCTGCCTTATAAGTTAGAGTAAGAGAGAGAAAATGCATTTTCCCAGAAGAGGGCAGATCCATATCCTACATCCCAAAAAAGCATGACTTTCTCCAAAAAATCCTGGGAACTGTAGCTTATTAAGGTTGCTGGGAATTGTAGTTCTGTGAGGGTAAACTATAGTTCCCAGTATTCAGGGGGGCGGGGAGTTATGTGCTTTAAATGTACATGTACGTGCAACTAGAGTCTTTGCAGTTCTGAGTGCTGCCTGACATGTGTCTGTGCAACTCTCAGGCCACTATACTGGACAGCAGGTCTGACCTCACTGATGATGCGCCACCCTTCCCTTCCCTTCCCTTCCCTCCCCTTCCCTTCCTCCTGCCTGCCGCAGCATTCAGCTTGCACAATGGGGACTCACGCAGAGGAGCTAATTAAGCTCCAGGAAAAGGGTGAGGAAACCACTTGTCAGTTTTTCTCTCTTTCTCAGCAAGAGGGAGAAAGCTGCAGCCCCAGATCTTTTGTGAAAGCCCTCCATGTTCTCTCTTTAAAATAATAATAATAATAATAATAATAATAATAATAATTTCTGCTTGCAGGGCATCTGGGCACATTGCTAAGCATGGTGTTTGGGAGGCTCCACCCACCCACCACCTCCGTTTGCCCAGAGGCATTTGTAAATTAGCATATGCAAATTTGTGTCGTGGTTCTGTGCCCAAGCATACAGCAGTGCCCCAAAGGGAGAGGGAGAGGGTGGCAGGAGAGACAGGAGGGGGCCAGAAGGGTGGGATTCAAGTCAGCTTTTCCACCAAGACTTCAGCAGGAATTGCTCCCAGTTTTAAATTGACAAGACTTTGCCGTTGGACTCAACATCACTTTGAGCCCCGTGCAAACTGCCCTCTTTGCAGACTGGGTTGTTGCATGCACCACAGCACAAATAACCCAACCTTAAAAGATTAAAGGAAGTGGGGCCAACAGCACCGCGGCTCTTAGGACCAGCCCTACCATGATGCAGAGCCTCAGGCGGTAGATGCCCTGGGGGAGCGGCATCAAGGTGTTAGAGCACGTGGCCCTCCAGATGTTGTTGGGCCCTGACTCCCATCAGCCCCAGCCAGCACAGCCAATGGTCAGGAGGGATGTTGCAGTTCAGCAACATCTGGAGGGTGAGAGCTTGTTAGAGGACAGGTGTGTCTCTGTGTGTGTGTGTGTGTTACTCTTGGTTGTGGTGAAGGACACTGCCCCATTGCCAGAGGTGAAATGAGATCCACCCGCCTGTCTCTAGTTGGCTTCTTCACATGGACTGAAGTGGGGTGCCCTCTTGTGCTTGTCTGGTTGGTCCTAGCTTTCTTCTCCACTCAGGAACCCCACAGCAAGACTACATGGCTTCTGATCATGGCTGGCCTCTGAATATTGCCTTTCAACCAGGACTGGGACCATCACCCAGACTAGAAATGCAGTAGAGCTGCACTTTGCATGGATCTCTGGAGAAGTCAATACATCTTTGAAGAAGTGTTGCTAGAAATCGCAGGGAGGCAGAGTACTCACCCCCAGTTTTCAGCCTTCCCACTTGCATCTTGTCCGCCACGAGGATCCTGGTTCTTTTGGGTCTCAAAGTGTGCCTTCCATCAACAATGGACTGCCTGCGCCTGCACTTTCTGACACTGATTATCCCTGGCGCAGAGGGGATCAACTTCTCCCTCCAATTGCACAGGTGAAGGAGCTGCTACAGTTTTATATCTGTATCCGCTTTTTGCTTGTAAACCACTTAGAAGCCATTTTGGCAAGTAAGCGGTATGTGCATCATCATCATCATCCAGATGAGCCAGGGTCCCTGCCGGTCCTCTGCTGCAGATGGGCCTTTTGTTGCTTCACCAGAGATGCTGGAGGTTTCCAAAGTAGCACTGGAGACAGAGGACCCCCTTAAGATCTTCAGACTTTGTGTCAGTGGGGTCTTCATTAGAGGTTGAGATACCCAGGGTGAAGGGCAGGTAGTAAATTAAAAATAAATAAAGAAGGAGATCAACCCACATCCTCTTTGAGTAGCCAGCCATGTGCACACTGTAGAACCCATAATATCAAGTCTGCCACATAGACAACCAGGAGCCAGCACAGACCACCAGGAGTATCCTGCTGTCACTGGAAGCTGCAAGAGTGTTTCTGCAGTTTATACCACCTAGATGCCATCAGGAATATTCTGCCGACTAATCCTGAGAGAATTTTGACTTGGAGATGAGTAATAAGAAATGCCCAGGACAGCTCCATGGCCCCTTTACTGTCATCTCCAGTGGTCTGAGTGTATGCATGAATCAAAGTTAAGATTATGGAGCAATGGAGGATCTAACCTGGTGCCGTCTAGATGTTTTGAACCGCAGCTGACATTAGTCCAAGCTACCATAGCCAATGGCCAGGAATGATGGGAGATGTAGTCCAACATCATATAGAAGACCACAGGTGGTGGAAGACTGGTCTAAGGAATTCAAGCGTTCAGTGGAACTAAATAGACTTAAATCAAATAGCCTGACTCTCATGTAATTTATAGATTACTGACAGTAACCTCAGACCTAGCCACATTGCCTGTAAGTAAGTCACATTGATTTCAATGGGATTTTCAATTAGTGTGTTTAAGATCTAAGTGCCCATGTTTTAAAAGCATTCGTTATTGTCCAGTGTGACCTGAGTATACATTTTACCTACAAGAACAGCATAAAATCATTATGGAAAATTTAGCAATGTGTGATAGTATCGGGGCATTAATTTTAAATAGCTATTTGTAATACTGTGCTTGCAACATGCCTTGCTTGAGGCAATATGCTCCTATGCACTGCAAAATTATTAATTCTCATTAAACTGTAATGTTCCTCCTTGAAGTAGAGCTAATGATCTCTTCTTCTCCTAAATTAACGTTTAGCTACTCACAATAAGTCCAGTTAATGCTCCTATATTGTTGAGACAAATAAAATTAAACTTTCTATATATATCAGTAGAATTTATTCTACTTAACTAGTGCATAAACACTTAAGAATGTCTGAAAGGTTTAAAGATCCAAGATTAAAGATCCATGCATGTGTTACTAAACACTGCAATCCCAACCACATTCTGTTGAAACAAGAGCCTGAGCAAATGACCCTGTTTGCATGTGGTCACTGTGCTTTTAGGTGTGTCATGTTTGTGCTGCCATGTGTGGAGCCAGTTGTATGCTGATGCCATATTCAGAAGCAAGCCAGAACTAGAAATTTTGGGAGAAGGATGAAGCATGTATAGAGCCATACGGCAGCCTCAACACAATTCACTTCAAATATACTTATTCTCCTCCAGGGTTAAGCCTTGGGGTAACAGGGAGAAGGAAACATCAATTTCACAGCAGAAGCATGGCACTGATTGGCCAGCACCAGTGATGTCGCTAAGACACCTTCTCCAAAACCTTGAAAAAGTTTTGTACTTAAAAAAACCAAACCCCACTTTGTTAATAAAGTAGAAAAGCTATCATTGATTTATTACGCAGCTTAGGTCCAAGCTATCTGAAAGACTGTATTCCCTCATCCGAACCTTGGGGGAGGCCCTTCTCTCAGTCCCACCAGCCTCACAGGCACGTAATGTGGGGACATGGATGAGGACCTTCTCAGTGGCTGCTCCTAGACTTTGGAACTCCCTCCCTAAAAAGCTAGACTGGCTCTCTCTTTACTGTCTTTCTTGTTCTATAGGCCTTTGGGAATTGAATAGGATGGTGCCATGATGTTCCTATTGTAATTATTGGTATGGTTTAAATAGATTTTATACATGTTTATATTTTTAATTCTGTCAATGTCTAATTATATTTTAATGCCTGATTTTTCTCTGTAAGTTGCCTTGAATCCTGTCAAGGGAAACATCAGGGTATAAATAAATATAGAATAATAATAATTAATTGCCTTGTAAACCACCATCACCATGTAAATTTACATTTACATATAAGTTAATTTAAAACAATTAAAAGCAACAAATACGTTTAAAACAAAACAAAAACTCTAACAAGTGGAGACTTGTGGTAAAGACACATTTATCCAGCTGGGAAAGCCTGTTGGAACAAAAATGTATTGGTTATTTCTGAAAAGTACAGAGAGTGGATGCCTGCTGCATTAAATATATATATATATATATATATTATTTATATATTTCAAAAGAATTTACGGTACAACATTTTCCAGTTTACAATCACTTGGCTTTAGACTACCCCTACCTCCATGATTTCCCTAATTTACCAAATAATGCTGCACATTATGGTTATTCTATGACTTATCTTCTCCACAATATTTTCAAATTTAAATTTTACTGCTGTTTTTACTCTAAGGCTACTTGCAAATTTTTTTTAATAATCTACAAACATTTTCCAATTCTCCTTAAATTTTGCCTCAACTTGATTTCTAATTTTACTTGTTAAACTTGCCAATTTGGCATATTCCATTGATTTCAACTGCCAATCCTCTGGATGCCTGTTGTACCTTGACAGGAATGTGATTCCACAGAACAGAGGCAGTCACAGGCTTCTGAGATTTTTGGAACTTGCCAGAGAAATTCTCCCACAAACCAGAGTGAACTGGTCCTGGGCTGTATAGGGATTTATAGGCTAGTACTGACTTGACCTGGTTGCAGATCTGCAGCCAGTGCAAATCCTGCAAGCAGAGGGTTCAACGCTGGTGGTAGTTTGCCCCCACAAGCAGACTAGCCTCCGCTCTCTGCACTAGCAATTCCCAGCAACTCTTAACAGTACCCAGAATTCTTAGAGGGAAAGAACGTGCTTTGAGTGTGCTCTAAAGGTATATAGTGTGTACACAGTTTAGATGATTCCAGTAGCAAACACAACACTTCATCTTGTTTGCGGTGATAGTTGCATGTGTTTAGCCAGCCACAAAGCAAATGTGCACAGGAAACTCCTTGCCAAACAGTTCAGTGAGGCACAGGGTAGAAAAAGAGGAAAGGGCAGAGGGGGAAAAGTCACGATCAGCTGCATTGTCCACTACATAGCTGTGCTCTAAGGCAGGGGAAATGTGACAAGTTTATTCTCTTCAAAGCAGATGTAAAAGCAAGAGGAGTTAGGCATAACACCAGCCTCTAGAAACAAGGCCATTTGGGGGTCATAAAGAAGGTTACCATGTTGTAGGGGTTACAACTGAGCTTCAAAAGTGCTCACCAAATCTATTTAGGTATTAAATGCAAAGATCTCACCACAGGATGCTGTTATTCTGCTTTCTAGCCGTGAAAGCTATTTACAAAAGATTCTCAAAATAAAACTACACTCAAATCTAGCACAGGAACAGAAATTACAGGATCCATATATGCCCTTGTCCTTTCCTAGTGTCATATCAGTCAGCAGCTCCACCTGAGGTCCTCCAAGGATGGAGCTGGACAGCTGGATTTCTCTCATCCCATGATGGAGACCAGTCTTCCTTTGCTCGCTGTTGCCACCAAGCTCCCACCAAGGTGCTCAGAGGCAAGGGAGTGGGGCTGAACAGCTGGATCTCACTCAGCCCATAGTTGCCTGGTGCCATAAATGTGTGTATGGTTCAACTAGGAGAATGAAGACTTGCTAATCCCTGAAGCAGCCTATTGGCTCCCTTTTACAAGGAACGAGTAGCTTTAGGACACTGGTAGGCTACATCCTATAAAGGCTTGCTCCTTCAGCCTGTGAATTACAGTGGTACCTCAGGTTAAGTACTTAATTCGTTCCGGAGGTCCGTACTTAACCTGAAATTGTTCTTAACCTGAAGCACCACTTTAGCTAATGGGGCCTCCTGCTGCCGCCGCACGGCCAGAGCATGATTTCTGTTCTCATCCTGAAGCAAAGTTTTTAACCTGAAGCACTATTTCTGGGTTAGCAGAGTCTGTAACCTGAAGCATATGTAACCTGAAGCGTATGTAACCTGAGGTACCACTGTACAGCCAACTACTTGCTGTCCTGGGACGTGGGTGGCGCTGTGGGTTAAACCACAGAGCCTAGGACTTGCCAATCAGAAGGTCAGCGCTTTGAATCCCCGTGACGGGGTGAGCTCCCGTTGCTCGGTCCCAGCTTCTGCCCACCTAGCAGTTCGAAAGCACATCAAAGTGCAAGTAGATAAATAGGTACCGCTCCGGCGGGAAGGTAAATGGTGTTTCTGTGCGCTGCTCTGGTTCGCCAGAAGCGGCTTAGTCATGCTGGCCACATGACCCGGAAGCTGTACGCCAGCTCCCTCGGCCAATAAAGCGAGATGAGCACCGCAACCCCAGAGTCGGCCACAACTGGACCTAATGGTCAGGGGTCCCTTTACCTTTACCTTTTACTTGCTGTCCTCATGGTCCATACGTTTTAGGAGGAAGAGGGAGAGCTATAGGAAAGGCTTAAACTGCTCCACAGATCATAAAGTTTGATTAGTTCAAATGCAATGTCAAGCTATGATTTTGCCCAAAGTATGGTTCGCAAACAAGATTTCAACCTCGTCTTAAATCCTGGCCTGATGGCAAATCATTATTTGTTGGAGGATGAGGTTGGTTCAGATGTTACAATGCATCATGGGTTAGAACTGCATTACATCTGAAGACGCATCCCACTCTAGTCCAGCTCTGGCAGAGTCTGCATGAGGTTCTCAAATTTCCTCTGATGTGGACATGGCTTCAGTGGCCTTTAGACGTCATTCGTTTCATCCCCAGGAGGGGATGAAACACAAGCATAAAACACGACAAGTCTCCCTTCTCTGTGACTAACAACGCAGCCTTTTCAAAACAAGCAAGGTAGGTTTAAGGATTCAGCAAGAATGGGCAACTTTATGATGGGGCATGATTCCTGTGATTCCTTCAGCAGCCAAACTTGGTAGCTGCTTGGAAATTACTAAGGCTATAAGTATTCCATTTCCTGACAAGCTCTAGAAACAGGTAAAATTGCTTCGGCAGCTCTCAGCACCAAGGGGTTTTCAAACAAGCAAGACCAGCTGTGACATCAATTTGTCTCCAGTGGAAATAAACAAGTCTGTGGAGATAAACACACTGATTTAAATACCGAGTGAAAGTTGACAGCTAATTCTCACTCTCAGAAGATCAGGAGACAATGAAAGGAATACAAAAGAATTTATTTGGAGGCATAAAAGTTTAAATTCTCTCTCTTTCCCCCACAAACACACACATACACAGACGCACACTGCAAAATGTACTTGCGCTTCTTACGTTTCCATGCAATCATGAAACCGGAGAGTGCCAATTGACAAGCCTGTCCAATAAAAATGGGCAGTTCAATTCGCGGCCCAATTAAGCCAAAGAACTTGGATTTCGGCCAATGTAGCCCCATTGACTTGGATCAGACTGTAAATCAGACAACATACATCTGAAATATTTATGGCCTAAAAGTCCAATAAATTTAAAGACAACAGGAAAAAAATGAATAAATCTGTGGAAACTGTGGTGTAATGACAAATACTGCACAGGCAGAGAAACAGGCTATTGACATAAATGATTTCCAGATTATTCACTCGGCTCCATTATCAATGAGATCAAGCGGGAAGGGTTTGGCAAGCCGAACTGCTGCTCCACCTCCATTCAAGAGCATTCATATATAAACAGTGCCCAATAAACATTCAGTAGAATTTGCAAGAGTGAAGGCCTCTTCATAAGCAATTCTGCATGGGCAGGAGAAAGCAAGCAGAATAAATGTGAATGGCTTTATATATTTTGCCAACAGTTTTCCAGAACGTTCGTCATTACACATGCTGATGCTTGTCATATTCTTTTAGTACATTTTATAACCCACTTTTCCCTACACATGGAACCTCTGTGGTATCTAGAGACGGAGAAAGAAATCCAATTCCATTTACATTTAAAGGCAAACCTACCTATTTGGCACTTTCCAATACGATACAAAATACAAAACTGAAATGCGGCCATCCTTTGTGATTTGCACCTCTCCTAATTTTACAGTACAGTTCTCCAGCCAAACAATGTGTACAAAAATTACATATACGAGGGCTAAGTATGTCTAAAAATACATATGTTGGTGAAAATTACAAGAATGCACCATAATAGATTAAATTACTTTGGAAAAAAATGTGTGTATTAGGAGAAATTCACACTAAAATGCTGATGAATTTTCATGAAGACTTTTTTAAAAAAAACAATGCAAACTGTTGTGGGAAACTGTGGAACTGAATTTAAGGATGGAAAAATGAGAATCTGAGAGAAATGGAAATGGACAGGTTTGCCTATCCCTACGGGTCTGCAACTTGTACTACATATGATTTTAAGCAATGGTGCTTTTATTTATATAATCGTGGAGTACAGTGGTACCACTGGATATGAACGGGATCTGTTCCGGAGCCCCGTTCGCATCCAGAAGCAAACATAACTAGCGATGGCACGTCTGCTCACGCGCACGCTGCTTTTCGACGCTTCTGCGCGTGACATCATTTTGAGCGTCTGCGCATGCGCAAGCAGCAAAACCTGGAAGTAACGCACTCCGTTACTTCCGGGTTGGCGTGGAGCACAACTCAAACGGGCTCAACCCGAAGCGCATTCAACCTGAGGTATGACTGTAAATGTAAATAGCACCAGGAATTAATGCACACAGAATCCAATCCTATGAATGATCATTCATAAGTAGGTTCCAGACTCTCCCAATGTGTCAGCCATAGTTTTGGTTCCAATCCCGTGCACACTTACCTGGGAGTAAATCCCATTGGACTCAGTGGAACTTGCTTGTGAGCAAATACATATGAATGCCAGTTATATAAAACCTAATGGTGTGTCTGTATTACACACTGTCACAGAATAATGTACAGTTTCGACACTGTGTATGAATGTTTCCAAATTTGCTCTAGAAGAAAATGGATGAAACCGAAAGCGTAAGATACTGTTATAGGTTTGGAGGGGGCAGATTCCCCTAAATTCCTGGGTGCCAGACACACCATAATTATTAGAATCAATAAAAGTTAGAATTAATCAAGGTTTGATTCAACTGTGCCAAACATGGAAATTCCTGGGTTCAGCTTATGCTAAGAAGAGAGAGGCCTGTCTGAGTGTAAGTCATGAAGGAACAAAGCAAAGTAATGGCCCAGGATTGCCAAGCAAGGGGGAGTGGGGTGCTAGTGGGAAGAAGCAAAGGCCACGTTTAGGGTTTCAACTTTGAATGATGTAGGCTGGGGGGGGGTCCCTTGGAGTCGTTTGGGGAAGAACTCCATGTGAGATGGGGATGACAGGTGAAACTAAGAGTCGCAGAGGATAGTTTTTTGCTTCCCTTAAGGGCGAAGCCAGATCCTCATATGATGTGTGAATGTTCTGCAATCCCTCCATCTAGGTGCAGGTTGTATATGTGTGTAAATAAAGCCATATATTATAAAGACACCACAGTCTCTGCTGTGCCTAATTTCTGAAGGAAACACAAACCCTGGGTAAGCACCTAGAACCCCAAGAATTTCACACTGCTTGGCTGTGGTTCTATATACACTTTCATGGGAGAAACTAACCCCACTGACCTCACTGGGCCTTACTTCTGAGTAGTTACATATAGGTTGCAGTCCCATACATACTTAAGTAAGACGTACTGGGAGTAAGCTTTATTGAACATGGTGGGAGTTACTTCTGAAGAATCATAGGACTACAGTATAAAAACTCAGCTTTCAAAACCTCCCATCTCTCGGTTTTTGTAGTGACTAATGAGTTTTGAGCCTTCGGCAGCTCTGGAAAAAGCAAACAAATATTCAGCATTTGCAATAGAAGACACACAAGTCTGTTATTAAGAGAATAATTTCTGGACCAGTATTACTCAGTGGATAAGAAATTATTCTCCAGGGAATGATTCCATTGGTGTGTAAAAAAAGCAGCACAGAAGAGTTAAAGCACATTGCTACATAGAAATCACACTAGACTTTTGTGTGAAACCAGACAGGCAGCAGACACACTTCTCTCACTCAGAGCCACTTCCTGGAGACAGCCATCTTGCCTGTAATGTAACTGGCATTATCCACAAAAGCAACAGTATGGCTTCTGTCAGTCATTCATTCCCCAGAGGATCGTGCCATGTTCTACAATGTTCCAAAAAAAGATAATTTCATGCAGAATAAATTTTAAAAGTAAAACACACACACATACACACCCAAATTCTCAACAAAAACCCTTCTGAAGCTGTTTTAGAGGTAATTAAAGACAGATTTCTGTTATGCAAATACTCATTTGATGCAAAACAATGACCATAATCTGTTAGAGAGAAGGAAAAAGGTTGTCACAGCAACATCCAGTGTCTTTTTGTGGGGGTGAGGGGAGAGCCCAGTTCTGTGACAGAATGTCATTCACAAGACTTTGGTTTTTTTGGCCTCTGCATGTAAATTTGAATAGGAGGATATGCATTTATGTGTTTCTTTCCAAACACTACACGGAAAGAGGCCTTCAAATATTTCTTTTGCAGGGGGGACAGAACTTCAGTTTGCTATATATTTTTTTAAAAAAAATTATTGGGGGGCAGCTGCCTGTCCCTGCCCCCCCTTGGCCACGCCCATGCCAGACGAGGGGCTGGGGATCTGGAAAAGATTTTCCTACCACCACTGGGCGGTGTGGCAGGGTTTCTCTCCCTGGCAGAGGAGAGACTCCATACGGGCTTCTGGGGGGGGAGGGAGTCCTATGTAGTCTCCCCACTCATTGTGGGGGTGGCAGAGGGATATTTCACTTCAGGTAGCGAAAAGCCTCGGATCGCCCCTGCTAACATCAATTTGTACGTTCCCCGCACCAGGATTGATATCTGAAGTTGTAAGGGTTGCAGAACATCATAATTCCTTTGGTTATTTTCTGTGTCCTAAATAATATTTACTTCCTCTCTTTCAGTAGAACAAACCTCAGATCCACCCTCACATTACAAGAGCAGGGCTTTTCTTAGAGCACATAGCTTGTACAGTGGTACCTCGGGTTACATACACTTCAGGTTACATACGCTTCAGGTTACACACACTTCAGGTTACAGACTCCGCTAACCCAGAAATAGTACCTTGGGTTAAGAACTTTGCTTCAGGATGAGAACAGAAATTGTGCTCCGGCGGCGTGGCGGCAGCAGGAGGCCCCATTAGCTAAAGTGGTGCTTCAGGTTAAGAACAGTTTCAGGTTAAGAACGGACCTCCGGAACGAATTAAGTACTTAACCCGAGGTACCACTGTATGCAAGAAGTCCCAGGTTCAACCCTCAGCATCTCTACATTGGTTCAGAAGAGACACTTGTCTAAAATCTGGCAGGACAGCCACTGCCAGTCAGTATACTGTATACAATACTGAGCTAGGCAGGACCAATGGTCTGAATTGCCATAAGGCAGCATCTTATATTCCATAACACAACATCAAATTGCAGACATCTCTGCCATAAAGGAGCCCTGGAAGTATCCATTTGTACTACGGAAGGGAAAGTAACATACTCTCTGCATGTCTCAAATGGACTGCAGAAGCTGCAGCTGTCCCAATAAATCTCACATTATGATCTGCCTATTTCATAAACGATGGCCATGTCCTCATCTCATCTAAATGAAGAGGTCAGAAACCCCTTTTTATTCAACTGTAAAATATTAACCTAAAGGGGAATGCATTTCACGGGCATAAGAGTTAATTATCCTGCACAGTCTGGAGAGCAAGCTGCAGTTCATATTAGTGTAACGGATCCATGTAAATCAACACACAGTTCACGTAAGAAACACCCCAAAATACATTAAATAATCATTCACATTGCCATAGCCTTCTGCCTGAACTGCTTGGCATGGGATCAGGCCAAAGAGATTGGAGGAACAGACAGATGAACAACACAGAGCGGAACAGATGCACTACATTGATAAAAAAATGATGCCCAACTAACAGACACCACCTCTGAGAGAGAGGAATTCTGCATGGGAGACTCCAGCTTAGGGTTTCCCTTCATATGATGCCTCTCCAAAATCTAAGCCAGAGCATCTTTTAGAAGCACTGTAAAACTTACCTGTATGGGTTGCCTTTGGGGAAACAGGTTAAGCTGGCAGAGAAATAGGGATTTCAATGCATTTGAAGTGTTATCTGGGATGAGCCAGAAACCTGTTAATTGGAAAAATTATTTATTTATTGCTTCAATATGATTGACTTTAAAAAAAAGCAAAAAAAAACCTGCAGTCCAGTGCATAGTAAGAGCAAGCCCCATGCAACTCAGTTGAATATATTTGACTAAACAGGTATAAGGAAGTGCTGGAGACTGTCCACAGGGAAGCCGCAGAAAGAATGTAGCTGGTCAAGGGAGCAGTGGAATCATAGAATTGTGGGGTTGGGAGGGAACCTGAGGATCATCTAGTCAAAGCCCCCGCAATGCAGGAAAATGCAGCTGTCCCAGATGGGGATCGAACCCACAACCTTACCTGTTGCCTTTGGGGAAACAGGTTAACGCACTACGCTCTAACCAACTATGCTCCAACCAACTGAGCTGACTCAAAAAGACTGAAAACCTCCAGTATAGTCCGCTCTTCATGGGTGAATCCTTTGCAGCCAAAATAGCAATGCCCACCCACATGAGGGACATACCAGCAGGCTTTGGGGGATCCTCAAGGTTTGCAGGTGTACCAAAATATTTTGGGGGTGACTCTAAGGCAGGAATGTCCAAAGTCCATCTCGGGGGCCTAATCTGGCCAGTTGGTTTAATCCGGCCGCTGTGGCAATTTATTTCCTGGGGTAAAATCCTAAAAAAAACCTCAACAACTGTAGCCCTAAAATAAAGTTCAACAACTTTAATCCCTCCCAAAAAAAGCTCAACAAGTTCGGGGTAAAATCATACAAAAGCTTAACAACTTCAGTCCTTCAAAGGTCAACAACTTTGGTTGGCCTTCCAGTTGGCCCTCACGGCCCTTCACTTCATCAAATCTGGCCTTCTTTAAAAAAAAGTTTGGACACCACTGCTCTAAGGCAATGGTGTGGGGGGGACCCAAGGCAGAACAATGAAGGTCAAGCACACTCTGTAACCACAAAATGCTGACTGAGTGGGGTGGAGCAGTAAGCCGGAGGGGAAGGGTAATGGAATGGAGTCATCCAGGAAAGGGCTGACTAATATGATGAGCAGGAGGAGGCCACACTGCAACATATAGTTGCAGGCTCCACTTGTATGTATCAGTGGAATATATAAAACAAAACCCCAAAAAGAGCAGGTCGGTAAGAACAAAGAGAAGGATGGTATAGGATAAGATTCACTTTTTCCATAGGGGAGCCCTAGGACTTAAGGGGTTGGGCAAGGTCAACTCAACCAATACCAGCCTGGGAGGCTGGCAAACCAGAGGTATATTTTAACACTTGAGCAGCAGATTCTCAGGACTGTTCTGCCACCTGTGCAAGTTCCTTATACCTTGGAGGGATTTTAATCAAATACAAGAGGGCAATGTTAGTTTGGAAGAAGAGAAATGCTGGGGCTGAAGCCTGTATGGAAACAGTATATTCTGAACTAAGCCCTGTGGCTTTTAACTTCTGGTGTGTGGGACAAAGCTGCATTATTCCTATTTATAAAGTGAATTCAACTCATGAGGGAACAATCCCTGCCCCAAGGAGTTTGCAATCTCCCAGCAGTAAACAAAAAGCACCTTACACATGTTCAGAGGCACTTCCCAGCCAGTTTGCAGGTACTGAGAAGAAATGTCCTGGTATATCCCAATGCCCAACATGGAATTTTAGGCTTGATAGAAAAATACACCAAGGAGTCACAGTTTTTCAGAACTAAGCTAAGGTTGCTACTCTCCACCTCAGGATGTTTACTGTCCTTTTATCAGTCTGATGCCAGGCAAACATTCAGCAGGTGCAGTTTCCCGTTGCCAAAACTTCAAGCTCCTATTGAATTGCTGCTTTCACATAGCTGTTAGTGAGCAATGTTGGCAAGGGAGACATTCCGAAATGAAAGCCACATCTGCATTCTCTAGAGACCTAGACTTAACCAGGGACTCAACTTCCCAGAAAGATCCAGGTGATCTATGGCGCTGGATCAAGGTCAGAGTCTGCTGCCTTCAGACTAATATAGAACAAGCGGAAGGGATCATAGAAAGCCAGAATAAATAATCCGGGATATGCAATGGCGTCCTTATGACCAGGAATAATTTACTTAACAAGGACTGGCTAATTGTTCTGAGCAGACCAGGATAACGCATAGTGCAAAAAGTGTGCATGCACCACTGATTCCCTGTATTGTATTGTATTCTGTTCCTTTCTTAATTATCTCTAACATTCTGTTTGTCTTCCTGGCAAGCTCCCTTGACTGCTGGCCAGGTTAGCTAGAGGGCAAGACCCTTGCTCTGACAGCATGCCACCCAGGGAGAGCCTGTGCCCTCAACAAACAGGCAGTGCAACAACATCCCAAGACAAGCAGCATCTCAGGTCCCTTTAGATTATCAGCCTAGGCAGACAGACAAGCACTGTCTCTACTATAGCTTATCTCCTAATAATAATAATAATAATAATAGCTTATACTGTATCTGTGTACTGCTGGGCAGGGGGCGTAAATGGGTTTACATTTGGAGTTCTACTGCAGATTTTAGCTAGATTCATGTTTTCATTCATTCTATCATTATTTCATTATATTATTATCTGCATTTTATAATGCATGCTGCTCTGGGTACTTTGAGCAGAGACTCAATTAATAAAATGAAAATGAAAATCAGAATAATAATTTAGGCCAAATATATTAGAGAGGGAAGTTATTGCATTTTTCTCAAAATTTTCAGGATGCAGATATGCTATATTACACATGTTGTGCTCAGCAGGGGACGAGCCACAGAAAGGGGCTGCTGGAATCAAGCAGCAGTCTGACAGGGAGGGAGCAAAGAAGCAAGAGAGGGGGCTGGAAGGTGAGAAGGGGCTTGTCTCAGGATGGTATGCTCTCCCTGTTGAATGCAGCTAGGGTGGTCAACTGTGCTGATTAACTCTGCAGAGTTAGCAGACTGGCTTGGAAGAGGGCTGTAATCTGAATATTTGCTGTATGAGCACTCTCTAGTCCTAAAGCAATCACAATGATGACCGAAGCGTGTTATAGGAAATATATGCTTGGATAGTAAAGAGTTCCTAATTCCTGCTCTAAGTTGGAGGTGCACAGGAGCCATGCTTGCTCTCCGATCTCCACAGGAGAGAGAAACAACACACACACCTTTTTTGTTTCAGCTGAGCACCTTTTCTACCCACCTGCATTTTCCCAGGACTTGCTAGACTTTTTGTTTTGCCAATAAGATTTTACACCAGCCTTGCATCATGGAGAAATGCCGGCCGCTCTGCTTGTAACATGTCAAAGGCTTGTTTTAAAATAGAGAGGAAGAGAAAAAGACACCACCCTTTTTCATATGAAGCAATTCATTAAGACTTCTTTTTAATGTAAAGACGCAAGAAAGGTTCTGTATGACCTTTTCCTGAGCCTGTGCACCACCTGATTTAGAAATGAGTGGTCGCCTTGCCTCAACAGCCCCATTCATGCCTTATTGCTGAAGAGATTCGCAAAACATGTAGAGGAGGTGATGCTGCGTGTGCTAGCCTTGCCCTAAACATTCCTGCACATCAGGGGTGTAGGAAGGGGGGTGCAGTGCACCCCGGGTGCCACCCTGATGGGGGGGGTGACAAAATGGCGGGAGGCACTTGCTGCGGGGCCTGCAGCGTGCAAGCGCCACGTGTTTCGGCGCCCGCAGGCTCCACGCTGTCTACCTGCTGCCTCCTCCCAGCTGTAGGGGGGCTAAGGCCCCGTGGCGCGCTCCGTCCCTATGGGCGCCGCACACCACAGCCCATGACTTCCCTATGGGTGCCACGCAGCCTATGTGGCAGGGCGCGTGGTGCCCATAGGGACGGGGCGCGCGGCACCCATAGGGAAGGCACAGGGTATGCTGCCCTATGGGCGGTTCGCCCCGCCCCTGGGCATGCCACCCCAGGTGCCCGAGAGGCTTCCTCTGCCACTGCTGCACATACCCAGTGGACAGATGTGACAACTTGGCTTATGGGACACAAGGAGCTCTTCCTGAGGCACAGTATCATGCTGCAGTTTGAGAATTATTGTCTGTTTGTGGGGCTGACCACAGCTCAGTGGTAAGGAATGTGCTTTACATGCAGAAGTTCCTGGGTTCGATTCTTGGCATCTCCATTTAAATAGCAAATGCAGAGGAGGGCAACCAAGACGATCAAGGAGTCTGGAAACCAGGGCCTCATGAGGAATGCTAGAGAGGGAGTTGGGTATGTTTAGTCTGGACAAGAGAAGACTGAGAGGAGATGTGACAGTCAACTTCAAATATCTCAAGGGCTGTCACATCAATGGAAGATGGAGCAAGCTTGTTTTCTCCTGCTCCAGAGGGTAGTACTCAAACCAATGGATTCAAGTTACAAGGAAGGAGATTCCGACCAATCAGGAAGAACTTTCTGAAAGTAAGAACTGTTCAACAGTGGAACGGACTTCCTCGGGAGGTTGTGGTTTCATTGGAGGTTTTAAAGCAGAGGTTGGATGGCCATCTCTTGTGGATGCTTTAATTGAGATTCCTGCATTACCGGAAATTGGTATAGATGACCCTCAGGGTCTCTTCGAACTCTACAATTTTATGATTCTATGATTCTAAGCTAGGAAGAAAACCTCCTGCTGGAGAGCTGCTGCCAATCGGAGATGGAAACACTAGGCTAGATGGATCTGATCCATGGGGAGGCAAACTAAGGCCCGGGGGCCAGATCTGGCCTAATCGCCTTCTAAATCCAGTCCACGGATGGTCCGGGAATCAGCGTGTTTTTACATGAGTAGAATGTGTCCTTTTATTTAAAATGCATCTCTGGGTTAATTGTGGGGCATAGGAATTCGTTCATTTCCCTCCCAAAAAAAGAAATATAGTCCGGCCCCCCCACAAGGTCTGAGGGACAGTGGACGGGCCCTTTGCTGAAAAAGTTTGCTGACCCCTGATCTGAATGAGGCTTCCTACACAAAGTGTTATGGGACACAGGGCATGGCTTGAAAATAAAGGAGGCTGTCACCTTACTGAGCCTAAGCAGGTCTAGGTCTGGTCTACGCCAGCATTGATTGGAGGGGACTTCTCTGGGGCCACATGTATGCTGTCTTGGGGTCCTATGATGGAAGAAAAGTGGGGTACAAATGTAAGAAAATAAAAGAAGCAACAACACTGATAATTTTGCTATGTACAGCCTTCTAGGTTTGGTTTTAATTTTAAGATGAAATGTCTGTTTCTCCTGATTCCTTTTTAAACAATCCACACACACAAAGGCAAAGCTATGCACTGTTGTCTAGTGGAGTCTGTAAACAGAGAGAGTGAAACAATAGCTGTCCAAAGTGAGAACTTCCCCTATTCATGTTAATAGACTGTTAATTATGACCACTTAAATGCCCACAATGTTAACTATTTCACTGCTGACTCTCCTGCCAGAAACTGCCTGCATATTAGGACAATGTGGCTCATTAAACATTCCCATTATCTATAGATTATTTTAGCAGTACTGGTGTTTATTAATGTCCTTAATTAAAGATCAGTATAAAATCACCAAGTGCTGAATGTCATGTGGTTTGTGGTATGTGACAGGGCAGTGAAAGATTTTGTGGATTTACTAATAGATTCCCCCCCCAGCAGTGGTGGAGGCAATAAACTTTAATTGCCTAATAAATATTATGTTTCTTACAGTGATATCTGGTATTAAATGGTAAGAGCCAACCTGGGATGAATAAAACAAACACAGAAAAGGGGGGAAATGCAGAATCTGCCCAGAGTTAAACTATAAAATACTTTTCCACATTTTCGGTCAGAAGGGATGCGTGATGGGCATGAATCCTAAAATGATGGCGTACTTCCCGCATGTGCTTTGGTTGGGTGGTGCTCAATGCTAGTCCTTACTCAGAGTAGACCTACTGAAGTTAATGGGCATTACTAAGAGGCTCATTAAGTTCAGTGGATAGACTCTGAATACAACCCTTTGAGCCGGGTTAAGAGGTAAGTGATATTTGAAATCCACCTCTGTCAAATTCACGGTGTGTCCACTTCACTTTAGTCACTGGTTATGGAAATTAATGCTCCAAATGAAATCTAATTGTCATATACACAAGGTCTCCACCTTCCTCTTTATAACAATTAATTTGGGGGGAAATGGCAGTCCTGTGGTTTCATACACAGGATTGCTAAAGCAGATTATTATCCTCTCTGCACCCTCATGCATGTACTGTAAGGATTGCGGGGGACATATTAACCACCCTGGTTGTGTCAGGATGACAGGCTGTTCAAGGATTAATTAACCTGTACAACATGATCTTAAGAATGCAAAAAAACTATTATTTTTCAAAGCCATGTTTTCAGTCTCTTCACCCACAGAGTTGTCTCTTGGAAACAGCCCATTGGCACAGCATGGCTTACTAGGAAGGTACAGGCAATGTTTAGCAGGTTATGCATCTATTTATTTACTTATTGTAAGGAAACTGATCACTTATAAGCAGCAGCCAGGAAGATTAAAGCAGCAGTGAGAGCAGCTTCAAGTGCCGAGGTAGAACTGATTCACAGGTATTTTAAAAACTATAACTCAAACCACATTTCTGATGAAAAGGCATCCAAACCTCTTAAAGACTTAATCCCCCCACAAGCAATTTAGACTCTGAGCAATTTAGACTCGCTGTTGCTGCTGCTTGTTGCCGAAATATAAACACATGTTGTCCTTTGAATGCAGCCACTCTCTCTAGGATGATAATAAATGTCCATAGACGGATGGTACCTATTCGATATAATGTTTTTTTTAAAAAAAGCTCTGTCCAGTGGAACACAATTCTGAAGGCAACATATCTTCTATCTGGGGGAAAAGATTTGCACATCACCACCCCTCCCCTAAACCTTGTGGGGGGTTTTCTACCATTAGTGTTCCTTAAAGGTATTGACACAAAGAGTGAAAAACAGAACAGCTGGTTTTTTTAAAGAGTGGCCAGGTGATCCGTATGGATGCTCTGCAATGTGAGGAGGAACAAAAATATCTGGGCCTAAGTGCTGGGTCTACACCGCCACTCTTGAGACACTCCCCGCCCCACACCACCACCACCCCTGAACAGTTACCATAGAGATTGTAGGAGCCACAAAGAGCTTTGGTCACATTACTGGCTGGGAGGGGGTCAATTTGTATGCATGAGCCCTGCTGGGAATGAAAGAATACAAAGGAGGGCAGGAGAGATAATAGAAAGGGGGGGGGAGAGAGAGAGAGAGAGAGAGAAATGAAGAGAGATTATAAGGAGAAAAGAGGGAGAGGACTAAAGCAATTAAAAACAAAGGAGAGGTAGAGAGAGGCTGGTCGAGAAAGGAAGAGAAGAAAGGAGAGAGGGACTGAGAAAGAGAGAATGAATTCATCTTGTCAGATACAGCACCTCTTGTCACTCACTGACAGGAAATGCTGCCTCCACAAGAGCTAATTCACAGGCAGTGGAAATGGGCAGAAACAGCAGGGGATGCCTCCATCACCTGACCTCACCAGAAAAACTGCATTGGGGAAGGGAAATGGCATGAAAGGGAGAGGCAGGGAAACTAATAAGAGAACCGGAAATGAAAGGGTGTCAATTGGTTTGCTATTAAGATGGTTTGGAGAGAATCAGGAAAATAATAGCATCCAGGGCCCTGTCAGGCTGGTTAACTAACACACACACACACACACACACACACACACACACACACACACACTTTCAGCATTGGTTATAGGGAATATGCGAGCTCAGAGCATGTATTAACCATTGTGTCATCTCTGGGCCTCTACAGCTAAGGACTGGGGTTAGTGTCCTACGGCGCTTGAAGATGGACCCAAATCCCAGAGGGATTTGAAACCGATCTATTCCTCATTATCATATTCATCAGCCCCCATTACTCATTTGCAGAGTATAAATTGAATAAATCATCCTTTCGTTTTCAAGAAGTCATTACTATTTCATGGGAATAAATGCTATTAGCCCTTAGCATTTATATAGCACCTTTTAAATGTTCAAAGCGCTTTGCGTACATTATCACAGCAGCTTAATAAACTCCTGCAATTTGACATTATTTAAACTGCCTATTAAGCCAGCCAACACCATGGTTTGGGAGGTAGTTTGACTGCAGATAGGTTGGGTATAACCATTTTGCTTTGGCAATTAACATAATTACACATCAAAAACCAATTTAAAAATAGAGATGGGTGCAGCAGATAAAAACTGGCTGAACACGAAAGAAGAAACCACTAATATTTAATAACTAATTTTCTGACATATATTCTATATCAAATTAGATGAAGTTCTCCAGTGACCTGAACTATTCCAACCTCACACAAGCAAATCAAGACTTACCAGAAACAAGCTAGTTGGATTTTCTTTTAAATTTTGTCTTTGTGATCTAATTCTAACCACTTTTGCCAACCACCACTGGAAACTTGTTAGGAGCCTGGAATGATAATAAAAAATCAGTATAAGAGGTTAAGAACATAAGCCATTAGCCAGTAAGTCTTGGGTTCAAATTTGAGCTCTGCATGTGTTTACCGCATGTCCTTAAGCATGCTGTATCTCCCAAGCTCATAATCCTTCATTCATTCAGTAGTTTGCCTAAGTGATGCAGAGAGCTGCACTGTAATGAATATAGCGCAAAACAAAATTATTACTGGTTCCTTACAAAGCTATGAATTTTAATGTAGTTGAAAAGAAGATCAAATAAAGACCCACTGCTCACATAACTTGGTTTATTATTTACAAGTGGTACTAATCAGCACAGGTAGTTGCATTATTCTGATAATTGTGCCCAATCTGCAAATATGAATAATACCAGATATGGCTATTATATGTGGCTAACCATGCCAGTTACCTCCCTATCAATTAACAAAAGACCTTACAAACTCAGGTGTTGCACTGAGTCATGATAACCAAATGTGCATAGTCATTCTGAAAGAGCAGTGCCTAATACAGTGGTATCTTGGTTCTCAAACTTAATCCGTTCCGAAAGTCCATTCCAAAACCAAAGCGTTCCAAAACCAAGGTGCGCTTTCCCATAGAAAGTAATGCAAAATGGATCCATCCGTTCCAGACTTTTAAAAACAACCTCTAAAACAGCAATTTGACATGAATTTTACTATCTAACAAGACCATCGATCCACAAAATGAAAGCAATAAACAATGTACTGCAGTCACACAATCAATCAATCAGTAGCTGAATTGGGTTCCACAAAGTCACAAAAACAAAAAAAGAGCCACAAAAACGCAAAATAAATAGCAAAAGCAGACAGACCTTAGTGTAACACTCAAAGCAGAAGTGTGGCACTCAAATCAGAAGCGTAACACTCAAAACGGAGCATATTCGGCTTCCGAGAAAAGCTCACAGGCCGGAACACTTACTTCTAGGTTTGCAGTGTTTGGGTTCCAAGTTGTTTGAGTACCAAGGTGTTTGAGAACCAAGGTATCACTGTATAGGCACTCTTGGTACCAATTTTGCAACCACTAAGCCACTATTCTTGCATGGATTTTTCGTATCTTATACAATAAAAATATATATACAAGATGTATCCCCTGGGGAGAGGGGAATAGGGGGATATGTCCTTCCCAAGGGGTTATGCAGGTGCTGTGTTCTACAGACTCCCTTTCCATAGTGTGTTATCCTACCAAACTATGGCAGCCTGACAGGCTTCGAATGTCAATCCGTAGGGACTGGTGGCAGCAGTAAGTGACAGGATCACTGGGGCAGCTGGGGCGGGGTCCCATGATGTCATCTTGTGCTGTGTGTGTGTGTGGTGATGAAGGGGTGTGTTCCCGTCATCATCATGTCATTGTCTTCCTATATGTGTGGAGCATGTGGCCATCATCACTGGCCCAGTGCCCAACTGGTGGGCTTTGGTGATGTTTCTAGGGATGCCGTGGGCATGTATGCTATGTTTACAACATTTTTGTTTCTTTTATTTGTTCATTTCCCCCTTCTGAGTTGACTGTGTGTAAGGTACAGTAGCTATTCCACTGGTATAGAAACGGTGTACTTGGTGTATAAGGCTACCAATAACATTTCTGCCTGGTGGGCCAAATCTTTGTCTGTCCTCCCTGTCCCTGCAGAACAACTTTGACAAGTGTTCAGCTTGAGCTTTCTCACTAAAGTTAGTACATAGCTAGTACCTTGCTCTGCAAGAGCTCTCCTTTATAATATCCAGGTATAACATTCACTGTGTTACAGGGCTGCCACGGAGTGGGTATATATAAACATATGTGGTGGGACTGCTCAAAGGCGGCTGAATTTTGGAATAAGGTGTTCACTGAGATCCCTTTGCTCGAGAAAGAAACTCTTACTCCACGTTTCCACCAGACACATTTGAACCAGTACAGTGGTACTTCGGGTTACATACGCTTCAGGTTATATACGCTTCAGGTTACAGACTCCGCTAACCCAGAAATAGTGCTTCAGGTTAAGAACTTTGCTTCAGGATGAGAACAGAAATCGTGCTTTGGCAGCGCGGCGGCGGCAGGAGGCCCCATTAGCTAAAGTGGTGCTTCAGATTAAGAACAGTTTCAGGTTACGAACGGACCTCCGGAACAAATTAAGTACTTAACCCGAGGTACCACTGTATATAGAAACAGAATGGGATGTGAAAAACAAAGAACCTATATCTCATCTCTTAGCAGCAGCCCAGGGCTCCGTTGCCAAATCCTGGAAAACCTTCCACCTTAATAATTTGGATTACTTAGTCTCCAGGGCTCGGTGAATTGCCCTCCTTGAAAAGATAGCTCATAAACTAAAAGTATGTAAAGGTTAGAGCTTAAATGACCTTTTTTAATGCATGGCATGGTTTTATTTCTCATATGAATATTGAGGCATGTGGTTGCTTAGTGGCACCAGGTTACACAAACCTTTGGCTCAGCTAAGACTTTGTAGAATCTTTGCTCTCAGTGATGATGGAACTCACAGATAGATAATACTTCTGTTTTTACATATCTGTATTATTTGTAAAAGGAATATTTGTATGAGTTAATACTTCTATTGCCCCTTTGGAGCTGTGCTGTATCTTTGTACTTTTGTCCTTATAGGCTTTGATGCTTTATGGTTTATATTTTTTATTCTTTGTTTTCTTTCTTTCTTTTTCTATATAAAAAAAAATCAATAAAACTTTAAATATAAAATATAAAAAACCAGCCATCTATCTATCAATCATCTGGCATCATGATGACATCAGGTCATCCTTCCCATCAAGGCAGTTCCACCCACCTGTCAGAGCTGAATCCTGGGTGTTTCACCAGCACATTCCCCACCGGTGTGATTCCTGCAGATTCTGGAGATTTGTTTGTTTGTTTATGTGTTGTTCCAAGCCTGTGGGCAGCAGGAGAGAACAGATAATCAATGGAAAACAAAGCAGGATAATTAAGAGAGCAGAAGACCTTTCGGTACCCGAGGTTGGTAAAGCTGAAGAAAAGGAATAGCCCACTGAATTATCCCTAGATGGGTATACAGTGCTGCTTGCTTATGTAAAGCTAGATACTGCCTTGAACTCAGGCCTGAGTCCTCGTCCTAATATAGTAATTTACAAAACATGTATTGATTTTAAGAGCACTGGATTGTCCTCTCAGCTATAAAGGGAAAGAAACCTCTGTTTTAAAAAAATGTTCAGACTGGGCTCAGCTGTTCAGGCAAAGCCTCTTCCAACATCAACCTCTTAAAATGGCTGACATCCTCCTCAGAGCCCCTGACTGCTTCTGGACAAATAACGTAACAATTTGTGTGTGTGTGTGACCAGCTCCATACAATGTGCAGAGTGATTTGAGATCATCAGTGATGTGATGTTTAGAGAATACAATGGGATAGATCTAGTCTGAGTTAGCTGCACTAGCTGTGAGTCCACATTATACATTTAAAGCATACTCAGCACACATTTACCATAATTTCCTCTGCACAGATGTACCATTTCCAGCAACCTTAAAAAACTACAGTTCCCATGATTCTTTGGGGGAAGTCATGTGCTCGTTAAATCTGTTTTTAATGTTTTTATTCAAAGTCAGCAGTCCTAACTCCATTTACCCAGGGTTGAACTCAACAGAATTTTATTCTGAGACAGCTTGGTTAGGATTACACATTTTCACTGACAACGGGGCAGGGGAGGGAATTAATTCTGACTAACTTGTCCCATAAAGCTCAGTTCCCTTAGTCTGGAGCTAACCTCCTATTCAAAAGGCTTTTTTAACAATAATAATAATAATAAGACATCAGACAGAGTTTCAGAATAGTTCCCTTCCCTGAAAAGGATGGGAAATGTTCTTAGCCAGGTATGTTTTCTTAGCTGCTTTTAAAGAATTCAGTGCTCTGGCAATCCTAGCTAGAGCCTAAGGAGGGCTTAATGGATTTCCTGAAATTCATTTCATAGGCAGCAAATTTAAAATAATGACTTTTAGCTAGTTGGTTGGGTTTTTTTAAAGCCTGTGTATCTTTGAGCAACTAGGGTTGTTGGGTATTTTTTTAAAGGTATTTAAAAATCATCTCATAATAAACATAATCAAAAAGGAAAACTCCTTCCTTCCCACCTCTCAAGCGCAGTCCCAGTATCATTCAAATACCGTACACACAAATGTTTCTCATTCAAATAAAAGTACGGTATATTTACATATGTCCCCTTGAGTTGTTGGTCGGCTACAACCATATATTTTTTTTGCTGCTGTGTCGGAAATAAAGCTCAACCAAGTTTTATAAAAATTTGTCTGATTTTGTGTGTTCCTTTGGTCTCAGACTTTGTTAGGGTCAGTTTTTCCATTAATATCAAGTCACACCCCTATAGAAAGGACATTTCAAACAAAGCATTTAGCAATTTTAAGACTCACTGCCATCGTAAGGCAAGTTATAAGATTAGATGGAAAGTAGTTGGTGTTGTTTTGCTAGACTAGAATGCCTCCTACAGAACTCTTTATAGAAGGACTGATGTGATAGAGGGTCAATAATGTGTGTTTCTTCATACTTACTCACAGAGACAACTTATACACACAATACATTTAAAATGCATTCAAGGCACATGACTTCCCCCAAAGAATCCTGGGAACTATAGTTTGCCCCTCACAGAGCTACAATTCCCAGCACCCTTAACAAATTACAGTTCTCAATATTCTTTGGGGAGAACTAATGTGCTTTAAATGTAAAGCCACAAACTGTATTTCAACTCCTACAACTGTCTGAAAGGCCTAAGACACTTCATGCAAAAGATACAGGGATTGACATCTGGCTGTGCTTGCTTGCCCTCTTCCATCTAAGGTTGTTGAAAAAATTACAGAGGCTATGAACCTATACTAGCTGGCTGCAGTTCCACATTTCTGACAAATTCTTCTAAAAATTTCCAAAGGCAGCCCAGCTGGCCTCACTGGGTTTCTATCCAGCTGTTATGTAACGTTCGCAGCTCCCTTAGCTCTTGAAAACTGACCTACTTGTTATCTATTAATAAAATTTTACTGCAGCAAACCTTATCTTCTTTCCAATTTAATTTCCTAATTACTACGTTTTCAGCAGGCCTCAGTCAAATGTAAGATAATATTACCTTAACTATTTTGCATCTTTTCATTTCTGGAACCAGAATGAGAAAAACATTCTGTCCCAAATTCCTAGCTTATGACAGACAAAAATAAGAAACTATGATTAGGGACTAAAATAATAAAATTCTGGTTAGACATGAGAGTGGAATAGTATAAAAACATTCATGGTTTGGCTCTGCAAGCCACAGATACATTACTCTGCAGCATGAGCCTCAATAGAGAGCCTTCAGGTGCAACCTTTCTCATGGAGGACTTTCAAAAAGCACAAGAAAATATATACCGTATTGGCCCGAATATAAGCCACACCAGAATATAAGCCGCACCTTTAAAATTCGGGGGGGGGGGGGGGAGAGAGAAAAAAGACAATACCCAAATATAAGCTGCTCCCTTTGCTAGAACCACAGGTTTTCTTTGATCTTATGAGTTTCAATCAAATCGGAATCCAAAAGTGCACATAAAGTGTGGTATAGTAAATAAGGAACAATACATAATTTACAATAAAACCTTGGTTATTTTTACACTTAACTGTTTGCTGAGCATGGTATACTGGTGCATTCTGTTATAAGCAAGTTTACAATCAATTTCCATGGTAGCAGAGTTCATCTGCTGCTACTACTACAAGCAACAATCCATCTACCTTAGCGCAAATAACATTATAAATACTGTTTCCCAGGATTATCTAGGTGGGCTAAATTATTTCTATTTAAGTACTTAGGTTTATGGTTCTGTGATTGCACTGGAAGAGTGCAATTCTTCCTATGCATGTCTACTAAAAAATAAAGCAAAAAAAGTAAGTCCCAGTGAGCTCAATGGAACTTCTCACGAGGTACGTATGCAAGTGTTTAGAGGACTACAACCTAAAATACTCTCAGTTGGTGGTTCATGAAAAAGAGGTCTGCCAACAGCTATCAATCACAATAGCTAAAGCAGAACCTCTCTGTTCAGAGGCACTCTACCTCTTGACTGAGATGTTCAAGGAATACTTACCTATTTCAGTGATGCCCTGTTTTGTGTGCTTCCCAGGAGTATATGGATGGCCACTGTTGAAAGAAGGGTACTAGGTTAGATAGATTGATATATCTGTGAAAAAGAAAATGACACAGGAAAATAATCTAAATAGGTGATAGCCAACTAAATCATGCTCAGGGTAGACCCAATGAAATTAATAGGCCTACTCTAACATTATCACCCAATATACGGATTGCATGTTTTCATGTATTTATTGGGAAATTTGGCCTGTCCCACATGTACATAATCTACCCACATGTACGTAAATTAAATGGAAAGGATCCGGGCCACTGGACTGGCAAACATTTCGTTAGCCTTTCCAAAATGAAAATAAACGTTTATGAAGATGTAAAGGAAAGTACAGTATTCCTTTAGGCCTGTCTGCATGCCTTTGACCTGAAACATTTTGAACTTTAATTCCAAATTAGTAACTGATATAAATAAGATGCTACATTGGACTCAACACTCAGTGCCGTACTTTGTCTCCACATCTACCACAAGGAGTTTCTTGGAGCTACAATAACAAAGTCTGCCTCAATTTCACTGCCAGAACTTTAAGGATGCAGTCCTCAAACCATTTACACAGATTAATGTCAATGGAGCTGCTTTTTGAATGGAATATGGCAAGGAGAATACAATTTCCCCCTAAAGGCTGTGAATCTGCAGCTATTCAGCCCTTACACACGGAGGGGGAACAATAATTCATCTGCACGTATATAAAAGTGGGGCTAGTCTGGAATCTGGATCATAGTTTATGTGCTTTCACATTTATTCCAAACCAGCTGAACATTCCCTGAATTAAAATAGGATTTTTAAAAAATCATATTTTCCTTTACTGCTTGCCCATTGTGCTTCTCAGTCCTTTTCTGATTACTATATCATGAAAAGAATCTTTCACTAATCTTCCCACCCTGTAATGTTTGCTTCCTAAATACCTTGGACTCTCAGTTACAAACTATTAACTTGGCAACATTTAAAAATCCACGACCTTTGAGTTTCACAGCCTTCCCCACTGAACCTTAAAGCATTCCTACAGCTCAGCCAAGTCCTCTCCCATCAACCTCATGTTCTCCAAATTACATCATAGGTTTGTTCTCAATCTACAAAGCACTGCTTGTATCCTTAGAATGAAATGTCAGATATCCATGTAAGAGCAAGGAATCAATGTTTTCTTTGGCAAATGATGTATTATAACCTCCCAATTACTTTGTAGTTCCTGCTCACCCAATCTCATGGACCATTTACCTAGAATCAAGTTCCACAACTGGTTTCTGAAAAAGCAACTTGGTGACAGGATACAAAAACTTCCAGGTAGCACAGAATTCTTCATCAGAAAAAAACTGAATGGAAAAACAGCTGCCCTGCATAACTGGGAGGCTTGCATATACATTCACCAACAGACACTGGTCCTGTTTAAGTTTTTAAAGTTTGCAACAGCAGTATCAGTAACTGAAAGAATTACTGCAGTACTGGTGCACCATATCTAAGGCAGCCTCTAGTTATCCAGTACTGTCTCTTGAGGCTCTCATTTGGATTTTTCTTCAAGTCATTCTGCCAAGTTTATTCAAAGAGGGCACTAATCCAAGGAAAGTAAAACAGTAACTAGCAAAAAGTGGAAAGAATTTGCACTGAGCAAAGCCCTTCTGAGTAATGTAACCTGTGAGCTTGTTGTCTCGGCCCCCACGGAATACTCCGTTGTGGCTCCTATTTACAGTAAATAACCTTCCCCCCTACATAAAAGGCCTGTTCTCACATTCTAGATCAAGAGTCTTCAGAAACTATGACACTCAACTAACCTTCACTTACTTCCTCATTTAATTAAATTCATCCAAAGTGCTATTTTTCAGTAGTGTTAACAGGGAAATAGAAACATTAAGTTTAATTCCAGCCAGGATTTATGTTTAACTGCCCTGGAAAGGGATGGATTAAAATATGCAAGATGGCTATTATCTGCACCCTTTTATTATAGCTGTTTCCCATGTTCTGCAACTTGCAGGCATATATCCTTATATTAACCTTATATAGCTGCATTATGAGAATGAAAACAGCCAGTGGAGGAACAGTGTGGCTTGCTGGTGTTGGAAGCAGGGCAGGTGGACCACCTTATAACTCTGCTTGTTAATACCACCGAATAACAGCAACACAAGCAATAAAAAAGCCATTTTAAAATGGCTGTTTACTGTAATAATTATTGTGATTATATTATTACTACTGATTATCGTAAAGCTGAATTCTCTCTGCCCCACAACTTCTTGGCATGGAACAACACAAACTTAAAGAGTTCCTGGAAAGTTCTCTCTCCTTCCCCCACCCCCAGCTTAACATGTCAAAATGATGGAGATGTTGTTGTTTCTTAATCAATTTACACTGCTATCCACCCTCAGCATATTATTCTGCATCCTTAATAGCACCTTTTAAAGGGTCCAAACAACTTCCAGGCCGATGTGTCAGGAGAAAAGGAAACTCTACTTTCTCTTTTCCTTTCTATTTTTTGGGGTTAAAAATTAGGGCGCCTTCCTGCAAAACCAAAACTATTTCGACCAGTGCTTTTTTTAAAAAAAAAAAATGTTTAAGGGGGTACTTCATTTTGACTCAAGAAAACCACCATTTTACTGTATAGTTCAAATTGCAAAAAATAAATACACTAAATGGACAAAGTACAAAACGTTTAGGAGTGTGCGCACCCCCTGCGTGCCCCCATAAAAAGCACTGATTTCGCCTAACCCGGATTTAAGACGAGGCCGGCGTGACCTCTTCCCTTTGATCCTTGCTTCCCGCCCTTTTCGAATGGGCCTCGATTAAGGGAAGGAAAGAGACACCATCTTCGAACGGGATTCTATAGCTCCCTTTCCAGAAGGGCGGGAAGAAGCACTTGCCCCTGCCATTGGCCCTTCCCCGGGCCACGCGGCGTATCCGAGCCCTTCCCGGGCTGGTAGCAGCGACTCAACGCGCAGTCACGGGGTTTGCGGCACATAGAACTGCCGGCATGGCAGAGGCGCTGCTTGGGCCCTGCGCTGCGCTCTTGTTTTTGCTGTCCGAGGGGTGCCACCTGGTCAAGAGGACTTGTGGGGAAGCAGAAGACCAGCGCCCCACGCAGTCGGAACGAGCCAGAGAGGGCCCCACAGCGCAGGGACACATGAAGCTTTAATAAAGCTACCCAGAGAAAAAATAAAAATGGGATTTTCCAGGGAGCTGATGACAACACTGGGTCCCATTCCCATTCCAGTGCTCCCGTGCGCCTTTTTGGGTGGACCCATAAAGGAAGCGATGTGAGCAATGAGGGAAAGAGCCCACTTTACCCTCCCGAGGGGCTGTCCCACCCCCAGGAAGCCTGGCTCGCTCCTTGCTGTGTTGGATCCCCGCACGCATCCCCAGCATATATATATATATCACAGTCCTGATCGCATATGATCTCTTGCTCTCAATGAACAACACAACCTTCTGGAGTCTCTTGACCCGAGGCTGAGATGTGGGGCTTGGGGGAGAGGGCTTCTTCCTCGGGATGTTGCCCAATGTGCATGGGTTCAGTGGAGCCGATGGGAATCATGACACCTCTGGAGGGCACCAGGTTGGGAGCGGCGAAGGGCGAAAGCTTCCTTCAGCCAATCCTCTCCCTACGAGTTTTCTTCGCGAGCGCCTGCCATGCTGGCCCCTGGAAGCAGTTTGGGTTGCTGCTTGGCCATCCAGGACTTGCAAACGCCTTCTGCGTTTGCGGTGACAACAGAAGATAACTTGCAGCAGGAGAATTCACAGATAACTGGAAGCTGCCGCGTGGGGATAGGATTCCTAGGCAGGTGAAAGAAGAAGGGAGGCGAGAGGCTGGGTGGGTGGAGGAAAACCACCTGGAAGGGGGGTAAAAGTGGAAATGAATGGGGACCCTCGCATCCACAAACTGGTCAAATGTCAGGTGGAAAGATGGGCTTTTCTTTTGTGTTTTACCTGAAACTTGCTTTTTAAATCACTTATATAGATATAGATATATCTCAACACCTTTTTCCCAAACGCAATTTTGACATCTAGGTGGGGGGAAATGGCGATTTCATCTGCCAAGTCACACTGCGGTGAGGGAGGTCAATATCCCTTTAAAATCCAACAGGGGGGAACCGAGAAAGTGGAGATCCATAGCATTTTGCCTTGTAAATGCAATTTTAAAAAGGTTTTAATTAGCATTGAACATATCCGTGTTGCAGACATTGCAATGGCACATACATCTTCCATCAACTTGAGATAAACTATGGGCGGGTACTAAACGGAGGCCCACAGTGGTTCAGCGGCAAAATACTTGTTTTCTGTACCGAAGGTTCCAGGTTCAATCCCTGCTGTCTCCAGGTAGATTTGGAGAAAAGATTCTTCTAAAACCCTACAGAGCCACTGCCGGTCAGTGTAGATAATACAGAATCTAGATGGACCCTGATTTGTATCTGCCTCGGTACAAATCAGTTTCCTGGGTCCCTATGATTCTGAGAAGCATGTTAAAGTCCGGTTGAAATCAACTGGATTTAAAACCGCTTATCCCATTATTTTTTATAATGCAGACAATGGGTGGAGAATTTTCCACTTCACAATACCAGCATTACACAGATATTTAAAATGTACTCTTGTTACTGAAGCAGTAAAAGAAAACCTCAAAAGTTTAGAATGTTCATTTTACATTCTTCATTGAGAGTAAAACCCCTTCCATCAAAATCGATGTTTTTATTTAAAAAAAAAACACATTTGATTTGAGAGGGGTGGGGGTTGGGAGATGGAGAATATCTATATGGAAAATAAATTGCTCCTCCGATGCAAGCTCCCAACTACTTTTCTATTCGTCACGAAGAGATTTAGAAGCTAGTTCTAGCTTTCTGTGTTGAGTAATGCACCATAATAACTAAACACGTTATATAATAAAGATACCTTTATTATGGTACTGCACAACTACAAAGGCAAGATCCTGCCAAAGTTCAGCATTTCACAACACAATCCTATACATGTTTACTCGGAAGTAAACCCCGTGTTCAATGAGACTTATTCCTATGTAACTTAATTACCCTTAATTACCCTTAAATCCAGCGGGTTTCAATGGGATAAGCAACCTATGCTAACATGGGAGTAAATCTCATTGAACACAGTGGTGCTTCGTTTGGGCTGGGTTAAGTCTCATGCGACCTTTATGCGGTGACAAACACTTGCCCCATTGCTGAAATTAACACGTAAGCGTGATAGGACGATCTAACTATTCAAAATCCAGAGCTACACTGTTGCGCCACCAAAAGCCACGAAGAGTCTTGTGGGATCTGAAAGCCTAACCTATTTGTTATGGCATAAACTTCCTTGGACTATATACATTGCAGCTGTATGTTGGTTAAGAAGACAGTCGTCCATGAAAGCTTGTGTCAAAACTATTCGGTGTCTCTCTTGAAATATAAAATGTCTCTGACTGGATGCATGGGTTAATTATTATCCTTCCATTTACTTGGAATTTTATGAAAACAGACACTTTTAAAATCATTTTGTGCGCTGACAGTATAGCTCTTCTCCAAGGTGAAAAAGGCGTATAAAAAGGGAAGGAAGGAATAGAAACAAAACTAACCTCTGCTTTAAAAGGGGAGTTTCCCCTACAAAGACTGTTTTTAGAGAACAAATTTAATATAAAAAATAGGAAGTTGAAACTATGAGAGGTCGAGACTTTTTAAGACTTGTAACTGTTGTCCTTTCGACTTCCTTTTCAGTGTTATTATTTTAAATAAAACAGGAAGAAAAGTAAAAGGAGGCTCGTAAAGGGAGAAAGTGGATTTGTATTGGGAATTCCGATAATTTTCTTAAATTATGCATTTTTTTCTGAGCAAAATGAGCCTTACTTTGCACGGGTTGAAGTTTGAAGAATAAAAACCCCTGGGCGTAAACGAGATCTTATGCGAATGTGGAACTCAGTTCCGTCTTCATCCCCAGCCAAAAACAACAACCTGGAGTGCAATGGAGAGGACCAGAAAAGACAATACTTTCCGCACACACCCCCTTTTTTTGCGAAATGAAAGAATATTGGGGGGGGGGATAAAAGCTTGTAAAATGTAGACGTAGCTCCCTCAATCTTTGCAGGGACACCTACAATTCTGGCAACATTTACCGTCCAACTGAACTTAAGGGGCTTACATCAGAGTGGACACGCATAGAATTGTGCTATTACCAACTTTTTGCTAAAGAAGGAAAGAAAAGTGGGGGGAGGGGTGGCCGACTGGCCTGAAAAATAACTGCAGCTTCGTTGTGCAAAGTGCAGTCGGGATCCCAACCTCTCCTGGAGGAGGCAGTCAATAGCAGCAGCAGCAAACCAGAATTGAGGGAGAGGGAGAGGGAGAGAACGAAAATGAACGCGAATTTGGCTCGGTTTTCCAATCGATCCTGTTATATAAGTGTTCTTCCTCTTGGCACCCGCTTCTTGCTCCGCCTCCCTCCCTCCCCACACACACACGCACACGTATCCTGTGACACGCGACGTGCCCCACCGAGCGCTGCAGCTGATTATTTGCACGATCGCTGTAATGAGAATCAATTGCCTGCGTGACGGGGCTGCAGCCGAGCTCGGGCGCAGCGGAGCGACCCTCGCCTAAACGCAGCTCTCTCCACTTCGATCAATATGCCAATAATTATTAACGTCGCCATGCATTCAAATGGGGGTGGGGAGGAGGATTGGGCTGAGGGAGGGCCGGCCGGGGGTTTCCTTTCGTCCTCTAGCCAACACCGAGGAAGGTGGTAAATAAATGCTGGGCGACCAAGACCGCCGCAGCAACCCGGAGGGACCGTTTGCTGCAAAGGGGTGCCTAAGAAGGTCTGCCTAAGAAACAGCAACAGCAGCAGCATCTGCCGGGTAGAGGGTCCCTTTCTCCTCCTGCCTGCGATCGCGGAAGACGAGTGGAAGAAAACGTCCCAGATTCCGTGGGGCAGAAAAAGCAGGCACGGGAGGGAGCGAGGGAGGAGCGGTGGCTCCTGCGACCAGGAGCCCTGGGGAGAGCAGAGCCCGGGAGCGGGAGCCCCCCTTGCGGGGCCCTTCCCCGGGGAGCTGCAAAGGCAAGCGAGCGCCAGCTTCCAGCGCCCAAGGTTTGCTCTGGAGGAAGCCGGCAGTGCAACCGCAGCTTCTCCTCTAGCTCCCTGGGCAGTCGGGGCTCCCTATGTACGCATCCATTTTGCACACGGGTGTTGCAAGGAAGAGGCACGGGGTGGGGTGGGGGGAAGCCCCCGGACCTCTGTGGCCCTTAGACCTGCTGCTACAGAGCAGGCCTGCTGCGGTCCAGCTGCCTCTCTCCTCGGGTGCATCTCCTCGCCCAGCCCGCCGCATACCGGGAATGCACGTGACGCAGCTGTTGCCCCGTCGCCGCAGACCCCTCCCCTGCTCCTGCTCCTCCTTCCCCCTCCCTCTCCGACTCCTTGTACCCAGATAAAACGAAGTATTATAATTGTGACGGCTAGCAGAGTAAAACAGAAACCGTCCCTGGGTGGGCTCGAACCACCAACCTTTCGGTTAACAGCCGAACGCGCTAACCGATTGCGCCACAGAGACACCTGCGAAAGGCTGCTTTGCAAAGTAAGTTGATCTAGCTGTACCTAAACATAGCAGCGCAATGTGTTAAGGTCGTTTCCGACAGCGAAGTATTATTTTTACATTCAAACCGGAGGATTAGTACACAGCGATGAGGCACAGTCCTTTTTTCATCTTTTCATAAATTGCCTTTCTTTTCTTAAAGAAATTGTTATGCTGCAGCCTGCAGAAAGACTATTAAAAAGCCAAGACCACGTGCGTAGGAACAAGCTATAGACATTTGCTGGGAAAGTGAAAACTGCAAAGCGCACCCCATTTAACTCCAGAGGAGCAGGCTAATTCTCAAGCCAGCAGGACTTCAGTGGGAGATGCTATTAAAACTCTCTCTGCTGTGCAGGGTAACTATTGGTTTTTGCTGTCGTTTGGGTAGGCACAGATGCATCTCCAGCCCCTCTGCCTTGTGTTGTCTTTTGCTTTCTCTGGGATCCTTCTGCATGCCTGCCCCGGGTTACTGTCCGAGTAACTGAGTTTGCCACTTGGGATCCAGAGTTGATTCACTATTTGCTCTCCTACATCCACACCATACATGTAAAAGAACATAGCTCTCCTTAAAGAATTGTGGCAGCTGCAGAGCTACAACTCCCAGCAAGCAAGCAAACTACCCCATGATACATTGGGGAAGGCTATTTAAAGGTGCTTTAAATTCAGACTTGTAGCCATGGTGCGGCAATGAAGCTGTGCTTTACCCTTGCCTAGGTTGTTTGTTTTTTATTGTCTTTTTAATTTGTGGCATGACAGACAATGGCAGCTTCCATTTAAAGAGTGACAGCTTGTTTTAAGAACAGCAGCCAATTAAAAACAAGACCCTCTGAAAAATTCATTGAATAAGGCAAGGCAAGTGTGCAACAGAAAAATCATCTGGAGGAGTCCCAAAAAGCCTGCTCACTCAAGACTTTCCTGATGGAGATGCTTTTTTTCCTGATTGCAATCACCCCATAATTACTTGTGGTCCTGAAAAAAATAAGCCTGTATGACCCTTAAAGAGCTAAATATTAGGATGCTGTACTATGAGCTACAGTTAGACTTGACCTCTTAGATTTTCACTTTCTGTTGTGTTCTCCACCCAGCCAGCAATAAGGAAATAGATAACTTAAAATAGATAACTTAAAGTCTAGAGGTTTTTTTCTAGAAAAAGAGGTGCCAGAACTCCCTTTTTTTTTTAGGGGGAGCACCCACCCAAAGTTGTTGAGCTGAAAAATAAAGCTGTGCTTAAAGTGACCTGAAAAAATAAATTACCTTTTACAGTTTTAAAGTACTCACTATATTCATAGTAATAGTGGCTCTTTTTTCTTCTTTTGGTGGCCAAGGATGAAAAAAATCCCTAGAGAAATAGCAATACTTCTGTGCCTATTACAGCTAGCTGACTAGCCACCTAAGCAGTAACTCAGGCCTGATTTTCCCAACATGAGGCCTTTTCAGAGTATCCGGGCAGAAATATCAACTCAGCAACCAGTACAAAAAAATCCAAGTGCTTTCCACAGTTACATTTCCAATCATTCTGTTAGTCCTTATTCCCTGCCCCCTTTACCGTGGATTAACCCTTTTGCGTGGGAATCCAATAAGAAAAAACACACAAAACCAAAATGGTTGCGGACAACCTGTTTATGATATCCCAATGACCCGCTTGCAAATTAAGTGACCCTCTGGAAATACCCCCGGCTGCCAAAGCCATTCTTCCAGGGCTGTGCATCCTGCTTCAGGCATTGCAAGAAGCTTCAAAAAGTAAATGTAAGAGTGACTTGTGCACCTGTTTCC